TAACTAATCCGGAGTTTGATCCCTAATTTTGTTGTTAGGCTGGGAGGATACTGGCTGCCACTCCAGAGCTCTCACTACTCCCTCCCCTGAGGTCTAACAATCTCGCATCAGTTTCTAATCAAGTCGACCAAATTGGGGATTTTAATCTGTCACCTTAAAATCTCCAATTTTGCATCCAACAATATTTATTTTTACTCAACCCCATAGATGAAATATTTTCCCATGGAGTTAAATGTGACTCTCACTATATTGTAGAAATCATAGCGGCCTTTTTGGAACATATGTTTCTGAACACATTTTAACATTTTAATTGGCCAGATCAAAAAGTAAATAAAAATTGAAGTTCAAATCATCACAAATTATTGATATTTAAAATGATATAAAACAAAATCAATTCTTCACAAAACCATATCTCAAAGTAGGGAGAAGGATAAAGAAGACTACTCAGCATTCATGAGAAGGATATAGCAAAACACAGATTTCATATATAAAAACAAGTTTACAAAATAAGGAAATAAAAGAACACAACTTACTCACAATCCTTCCCAAACAAATCTCTAGAAGTTCTCTTCAAGTGCTTTCCATTTTTACAAGTACTCTCAATTCTCTCTTAGAAGTGTCATGAAAAAGAAATCTCTCACCTTCCCTCTCCTCTTACAATCCTTGAGGAAAATCTCTAAGCTCTTGTCTTTCTCTCTCTCTATCTCATGCCACTCTCTCTCTTCAGCCCCCTTTCACACTTCCTTTCCTTCAAGCCCTAGACTTTCCTCTCTTTTATACGCCTCCTCCTTCAAGCCCTAGACTTTCCTCTCTTTTATTAGAGGATGCCTCCTTCCAAAAAGATTTCAATATTCCCTCCAAAATTCTATCCAAAAGTTAACCCTTTTGAATTTAAAAGACATGTCTATTGATCCAAGAGACATAACCCTTCATAAAAAAACCTTCCAAAGTGTCTAGATGCATTAAATCACTACATGGGGCGTTTAGAACAAGTGTCCCTTTTGAAATTCACACAAAATTCATTTCAAACACCCTTAATCCGCAAAAAATCATCTTTGGCGCTGGTTCTGGCGCTTCAAGCACCATCCTGCTTTAAGACAACACTGTTCTAGGTTTTGGCGCTTCAGGTTCTAGCTCTCAGTAAAATAGTGCTTCAGGTGTCAACTCTCTATAAAATAACACTTCAGGCACCAGTTCTGGCGCTTGAGGCGACAGAATCCCAAAATTCACCGTTTTGGCTCCAAATTTCGTCCTTTTTGCTACTTTTGCTCCAAATGCCTCAAATTGATATACCTGTAACAAAAACATGAAAATACCCTTCGTATCACAAAAAATAAGCATATATATACTTGAAATAACACATTATTTTGGTGTATCAAGCACAAGGAGACTGGCACCTAAGCACCGGACCACTGGAAGCCTAGGCGCTAGTCTCCACCTTGGCAAACCGAGAGGATGAAGCTAAGGCGCCACCCTCTTGGAACTTAGGCATCGCGATACTGGCACATAGGCACTAAACCCTTGAGTTCCTAGGCACTGGCAACTGCTTGAAGCAATTTTGGTAGTTCGAGAAGCAGGTCACGTGGAGTTGCTAAGAGGTCGTGGAATGGTATAGGTTTATAAATTTGCTATGTATGTTGTTGTTGAAGGATTGATGAAGGAGGACTTCTATGGTTGTTAAGCATGGAAAGATTGAAGAATTGATGTAAGTTGGTTAGCCTAATCCAATATCTCCTCCCCTCCTTCTAGTGCAGAGGATAGGGAAATCTTTCAGGAGTAACAGTCAGAAGCTAGGAGGAGTAATGGTGAAGCGTCTTTAGATCATTATAAAAGAAAGGAAGATAAGTTTATTATGTCTTTGTTGTTGTATTTTTGTTGTGTAAGCATTTGGATAGTGGAATTCTCTTGTTTCAATGACTTGGTGTGTTGTTTCTCTCATGTTTCTTGAGTAGCTTTCTTTACCTTACCTTATGATAATTAAGTAGGATGTGTAGGGATGTTAAGTGTTGTGAAATTTCTTTTAATTTTTTAATGTGTTAATTAACCATCACATCTTCATTTACTTTTCATTCTTACCAAGTAAAATGTTAAAATGTGTAGTGAACCATAATGACTTGGGAGAGCTATGGTAAAGCCAACAATGTTAGTCACGTTGAACTGTGGGGTATAGGTGGATATGCCTAGTATGGAGAAGCAAATGTTAGAGAAATATTCTTTGATGGGTTCAAAATTAGATTTAAGGAATTGAATTCATTTAACCAATATTCTTTATGCTCTTAAGAGAGGGTAAAGAAGAGAGTTGCTTTTATTTGTCACTAGCCAAATTTACAATTTGTAATTTGCAAATCTTGTACTTCACTTACATCATTACAAAGGAGGATATTTCTAGAACATGATATTCATCAATACAACACCTAGTTAAGTAGGATTTCAGTAAGATTTAAACTTTACAATTGCTTGTAATACCATAGGTTTAGTTTGTAGGACTTTAACCAAATCAAAATTCCAGGCTAAGAACAAAGTCAGTAGGCTAGAAATTTTCCTATATTGGAATCACCTTGTTCTCTATGAGATCGACATTCCAGAATCTAAAATATAATATTACTGATACGACACGTGCACTTGCATGAGCCCCTAGAGTGTAGTAGCACTTGGAGACGGGTATCATGATGCTAGGCACAATACTCCCTTAGGTCCTAGAGGAAAGCTTCAATTTTTAACAAGTGCACCTTCTTCAAATTTTTTTTTGAATTTCCTCAAATGTCTTAGCCATCGAGACACTCAATGGAGTAGCTTTAGACTTTCCATGATAATCAACCAAACACTCATCATATCGAATAGGTCGCTAGTCAGGGCGCCGAGTCTGACCTCTCCGACCATTGCTCCTGTCAGCCCCTCTATTGTCATGAGGTGGTCGGTCATCTTCATGCTATGGACATGCGATTAGACGAGAGTCCTCTCGCTATCTTCATCCACCGCTTTGGGGAGCCTCTTCTGTAGAGGGTTGGAAGATTTGACAGGGACTCACAGATGCATAGAGCTATATTCTTAAGGTAAAATATGATAGTTGGCTAGCTCTGAAATCTCAGTGAGTATCTTTAGTCACTGCAATCTGAGAGCATACACGAGCTATTCATTCTTTAGCCCTTGAGCTAGAGCGGAGTGAGCAATAGCGGGCTCCAAATCCCACTCCTACAATTAAATTTTCATATTTATATAAATAAGTAAAAATTTTAACGTCACATCCAAATTTTTAACATTATAATCTATGTAAAAGTAAAATACATTTTTTATTTCTGAGCAATAGTGCTAGTATTGTAAATATCAAAATTTAGGTGTTGGATATGCAAATTCATTCATTTCCGGATGCAATAAAGCCCGTAAGATTTCCATTTGGACTAGCCCAGCGCGGCCCCATCAGCAAATGTAAACAACTTGAAGAGTTCTTTGGCAAGGAAATCAAATATCAAGAAAACTGAGGCGCCGACTATCTTCCGCCTCTGTCGGGTGAGGTACCGTCCGATGCAAAAGTGCTTTAAAACCTTTTTGCTCATCTCCTTTGGGGTTTCATACCCACGCGGTGTTGCCCTCTCTCTCCCACCTTCCTACTGCAATAAATCAATGTCAGTTTCTGTCAAGCATGTCCTGTTCCACTCTCTCTGCTATTCCTCTTCTATCCACCGCAAAGAGCATGACTCAATCTCCTCGTTGCTTAGCAGGTGATTTGTTCTGCGTCCGTTTCTCACATTATATCCGAGTGTTCACTCGGTTACACATTATGGATGATATTTGAAGGTAGTTCGGGGGTAATTGATTGTAGGGACGTAAATTTGTGTTGTAGTTGATGGAGCCAAATAATTCTAAGCTTGTTTGTGTTCATTTTCTTTGGTAATGCTTCTGTTAGTTTTAAGATTAATGAATTCTGTTTCTAAAATTCCATCAGCATAGGGTGCTCCCATTTCAAATATCCTTCTTTTCTTCATCTACTTTTTCTTTTTTGTTTGTTTTGTTTCGCAGCACTAAAGGCGTACTTTTGTTACATGTAAGTATTGAGTCTTTTTTTAGTTAATTTAATTATGTTTAAAAGGCTATTTTATGTTGTCTTTTGTTATTTATTTTCGCAGGAACTACGTACACGTCATCCAAATCTTTAACTATTTTTGCAACCAACACCCATATTATTCTTTTTGAACTAACAAATCTTCTTATTTGTGTATGCTATGATCAGTCCATCGGCAATTTAAGAGAAAAAAAAAGGATTGGACTTTTGCTGTTAATGTAGATATTTAGGTGAGAATTTGAAAATTGGTGATGAATGGGTGTTAGCTTTGTTAATACCAAATACTTGAGTATCATGTATGTAATTTTTCCATATATATTTTGTAGATTGTTAGGGGTAAAATGGTGATTTAGTATTATGGGTATGCTTGGGTTATTTAAAATTTAGTATGTTTAAAAAAATACAGAACTTATGGCTATTATTTATTATTATTTGGCCGAGGTTGTAATTATTTTCTTAAGATGGGAGAAAGATATGGTTTCATTTTTGCATTCATGAGTACAAATCTTTTCTGTTGCTTATTGGCATAAAGATCTTCTTCCTTTTTTCTCTTTATATTTCTTCTCTCTCATTTGATGATTTCTTTCATTTTTATCAAATGCATTCTTCTTTTATCTCCTTTGTTCTTCCTCTACATTGAATTATTTGTATCTCAACTATCAAGTATTGAAGTTGCTGCAATCTGCACTAATATGTCCCAATCATCATCAATCAGTATCCAATCCAAAGTTTTTAAATTCAAATGATTCTCTACAATGATCTGCATGGGAGATTATAGGGTATATCATGGTTTCTCCTCTCTTTTTATATTCACCAATCCCCTCCCCTTTTCTCCATCCATAAACCTTCTCTATATGTCATTCCATTTGTCTTAAACATTTTTCTTTCCTAAACCAAACCCTTACCTAAACAATTATTTGAAATCTAAATCAAACCCAAGATAAAAAACAACCTAAACCTTGAAGCCTTACCAATGGACCTCCCCCCTTGTACCCTTTGCACAAATCTGTACCTTGTTCCATGACTTGCATTACTTGAGAATCTTTCCCTTTAGTCCAATTAGCTACAAAACCAACCCATTGAAATTCTTTCAGTCGAGATACCACTTGATATTCTTCTTATACTTCCTCAAATTTCTCTTGATAAAATTTCCTTTCAAAATTCAAACTAAATTTGAAAATTTTTAGCCACCTCATATCAAAACCTTATCTACTTCTCACGATCCTCATCAAAACCACTCAAAATTTGAGTTTAAACTTAACATCGATCAAATTGATTCTAGGTATTCATTGTCCTTCTAATTTTCTTTATTGTAAACATGTCTTTATTTCATCAACAAAATGAGCCATAATTCCTTTCAAATCTAAAATTATGGTATCTTATTTACTTGAAAAGAGCAACTTGTAGCCTCATTGACTCGGGACGTGATACTGTAGATGTGAGACACGATACTGGGGCAGTAAGCCGTGGTCTCGCGATCACAGGAAAACCAAACCTGGATGAAATTTTTTATTTTTCTTTCTATGTTTCATTAGGTTTCCTTTTATCCTTCTTTCCATTTCTTCTTTCTTTTTTCTTTAATATCTAATTAGATATTTGCTGTGAGGGGACTTATATATATTATATTAGGGTTTTGGAAGTCTTCAATTTTATGATTTGATGAATTTGGAAGTGTTTATATGAATTTTGCTCTCTAGAGTGTTTATTCTTTTATTTTGCGAGTGGTGTGTCTGTATCTTTCTTAGGAACAAGTATTGGAACCCCTTCGCCACCCTAACATCTCTGATTGAGAGTTTCCTTCTCTAATTTCAGTTGGGACAGTCGTTGATCTGTGAAAATCTTCAAGTAGAATGAAGTTGACCTCTTAAACATCAAGACACCTTTTGATGTAACAATAAAATTTCATCAGAAACTCCAAAGTTAAGCGTGCTTGCATGTGAGCACTCATGGAATGAGTGACCTCTAGGAAAGTTACACCAACAGGGAAAAATCGTCAGACCGTTAGGCCAAAACGGAAAATATCTAGATGTTTAAGTGTGGGATGGTGGAGCCCAACAAGAACACCATAACTTGATATCTGATAGGATTGAGATCGTCTATTAGTGATTTGGTGCATTTATAGCCTTATTGGACATTGCAAAAGATTCAGACCCTAGCTCTGAAGGTGGAGAGACAACACAACAGTTTCAGGTCCCCATCACTTTTCAAATAGAGTCAGCTATTAGATCAGACAACAAGAATGCACCCAATACAACACCCAAGCCAACCTAGTGATTGTCAGTACTCTCAAATACATCCCCACAGGTAAATGGTTTGATTGTGACGATTTTGGTCACAGGATATCTGATTGCCCAAACTGGAGGGCGATGTCTTTCATTGAGCAGTGAGCAGTTCAAGAAATGGACAGTGGCATAGGAGATAATGAAACCTTCAGAGAAAAGTCTCAACTTTCAGTCGATAAGGAAGCGATGCCATTGATTTGAGATAAGCCCATGAGAGAGACTTTGGCTGAATTAACATTAGTTTTTCTAGAAGGTAGTAAGTCTCAGATGATGGGCACTCATTATAGTTTAATGATTGGTGTCACAGACTATTTTTTTTGCAGGCAAGTAGAGGAGCACCAACAAGACTCATATTAGTTGTCCGAAAGGATCATGAGTTTCTGGAACCCATACTAAACACAAGTAACTCAAATAAGAGAACTTTAGGATTTTCAGACATATAGTCTACCTCATGAGTTGCTACTAATGAGGAAGGTCTAACATGTCATAGATGAGGAACTTTTGAACTATTTTTGGAAGACTATTTGAAGTAATTTAAGTATTAAGTACAGTTCAACAGTGTGCCAACTTACGGATGGTCAGGCATGATAGATGAAATACATTGTTTGAAATCTTCTTATGAACATTGTAGGAAAGAGCATTCTATAGTGGGATCCAAATTCTTCAAGAGAAGAAGAAGAGGTCTCTCCTGAGTGGTTGCCATTGAAAATGATTCAGCTTCCCACATATTTCATTCCAGTGCTAGCTCCAGACAGACTTATTTATTTGAGACGCCTAGCCGAGTATGAGAATTGGGAGAAACATATTACACATTTAACAGTACAAGATTTGATTCGTGAGAGTACTAAACCGGATGCAGCCCCAACTCTCAGTGTGCCAAAAATGATGACTATTTATTCTATCAAGATAGTCTTTGGAAGTACATATATGTTATAGAGTTGCAGGGAATTAATGTTAGTATATATCTTGTGGTGGAGTTACCTTTGACATAGCAAGACAATGATTTTATCATGATTGTGGTAAATCAGTTCCAGATGTTTTCTAGGAAGATGATGAAGCTCCTCCTACTCGATGATGCGGACGTACCTGATGTGGGAGGCCCTATTTGGACTGCTGTGGCCTCTTGCGACGGAAACATTGGACCGGCTCAGATGTCCTCCCTTATGGACCATTTGTTCAGTTCAATCAAACCCTTCCAAGGAGACTTGCTGTCAACTGATGTGGGGGCCAATCCCTAAGTACCCTAGGTCTATATATGCGGTTGTCATGATGTTTAGGTCAATTCTTGCTTAGGAGAGCCGTCAATGTCCTCGTGTTCTCTCCTGGTGATGTATTCGAAGGCAAGAAGATGCTTCTGCTGTAACTCGTCCTAATGTGATGTGTATCTTCTATTTCTTGCTTCCCACAATCCTTCCTCCCAAAGTTACCTTCCTCTCTCCAGCTGGCCACCCCTTTTAAACCCTTTTTGAGCCACCAACCCTGCTTCCTACGACCAGACGGCTTGATTCCCTGCGTTTTCTTTGAATTTTGTCTTCAGAGTGTTTCTTTTGCAAGTGGTGTGCCTATATCTTGCTTAAGAACATGTTGTGAAATCCCCTTGCCACCCTAACATCGCTGATTCAGAATTTTCTTCACTGATTTCAGCTGGGATAGCTACCGATCAATGTCTACTCCCGCCCATACGCTGCTGAACTCACATATTTTCGTTCCTTTGCAATTCCACAACTTACCTACTTCCTTTTTGTATTCTTCTTATTCCTTCTTGAAGCCCTAGATTTTTATCGCTCATATAAACAGAAATTTACCCAATTAGCCTCCAAATACTATCATGATCAAACTTAAGTCAATTCAATTAGATTTATCTAGCACAAATTAAGATTTAAATTTGTGTGGTTGGGTATTGAGCATTTTTTGGCTGTGAGATGTGGTGTAAGTTTCAATGCTTTTTGAGGTGTAAGCCTTATAATGAGAAAATTTCTTAGAGTCAAATTGAAGGTAAGAAAAATTATTTTAGCATCATAGCCTATAAATATGTCAAAAAAATACCTAAACATGTTAACATTGTATGAAGTAATAAATTATGGCCATATTAAGTAATAAATTGTGCAAGCCTTAAAATATCATATAATAAATTGCACAAAGTAAATGTAGACATTAATTGCTTAAACTAACCTAAGATATCAAATGAAAGTAACTTGATATATCAAAGCAAAATAAATTTGGTAGTTTTTTGGCATCATCTCCTCTTAGGGAGTTATTTTGGGAGAGTGGGCCTACTCAACATGTTATGAAATACTTGTATTGTCGGTGTTCTGTGACATGTTATAATTTTCAATATACATTGCATAAAGAGAAACACACATGGGATATTTGTAAG